TTTTTTTTTCTTGGTACCATGATCGAACTTGGGTCCTTGTGCTTGCAAGGCAGGCGGCGGAACCACTGAGCTAAATCCCCGGCCCAAGCATATGGTCTTGACATGGCAAATTCTGTACATTTTATCTTTGTTCCAACAGGTTCCATAAAGTCGGTCTGGGATGCCGTTCCCAAATGTGAAAATGTTCAGACTTCCCAGGTGGCTCATTAAAGAGGGGTTCACCATGGCCGGGCCGGGCCGGTCTGAGGAGGGTCACAGGGACACCAACACTGCGGCTTCGGCCACTAAACTTTAAGAATCACTGCTCTACAAAAATATTTAAACCAACACTCTTTTGACTATTTTGTTTCAAATCCCCAAACTAAGTAAAAGTAGAAAGTTTTATTTCAGCATTTTTGGAATGTGCAGCAGCAAATGTTGAGGGAAAGCATTCAGTCTGTGGTTTACTCTCAGTAACATATTAAGAGACAATGTGCTTTTAAAACTAATTTATATATTCCTTTTTGAAATTTTCCTACTTAATATTCCAGGAGTTCACAAATCTGGCAACAAACGGATAAGACACAGAACTCAAACATTCAAGATTTCTGCTATTAGAAATTAAAATTCCATCAACTGACACAAAACATTAGCCTAGAATCCCAGTTTTGCAGCAAACTATGTGTTTGTTTCGAAGACACTACGTAGCCCAGGCTGGCCTCAAACTCACACCGATCCTCCTGCCGCAGCCTCCCCTAGGTATTGGGATTACATGTGTATGTCACCATGCTTGGTGCAGGGTTTTTTAAGAAATCGAACACATTATCACTTTTCAAGGGGTTCTAAAACTCAGTTTGGTTAAAGACACAAAAAGACGCACCATAAGCTGACATGTGCATTAATACTATACCCTAACGATCTGGGTGTGCTGTCGCTCCACCGCCAGGTGTAGGGCGGTCTGCTGGTTCACATTCTGGATATCCAGGTTTGCATTACCCTGAAGAGAAACAAATGTTACAAATGGTTAGAGTCTGACAACAGAGGACTAAGTACCAACCAATACTTTTGAACACTTTCTATTCTTTCCAAGATGCTGCAACATTATTCCTACATGGTAACAGGTGGAGCGGCAAACTTTCTCAAGTCAAACAGTTTAAAAAATTTCTTCTATCATGGTGATTCCATCTAAGAACAATTCAAGGATAAGGGACAGGAAGAGCTCAAATACAACTCTCTTTCAATCCCTATTATACAGCAATGCTGATCACTTCTTTGAATGCAAATACTTCTAAAAAGTTACCAAATTTTCTATTAGCCCTAGATTTACTCTAATAATCTGGTAAACTGACTTCCTCCGTTGGTTAATTCATTTCTTCCTCGTTCAATGAAAAGAAACTTTGCCTAAGCTGAGAAGGTGGCGTTTAATCAGTATATAAAAGGCATTATTAAAGAGAGACCAGAAGTCCTCCCCAGGGCCCTCGGAGAGCCGAAGGACAAGGGAACACACTAGGCCCAGGCCCAAGGCAGGGAGGGCCTGAGGAGCAAAGCAACTGAATCAGTATCAGGGGGCCCTGGTTCATGCTCCATTACTTCTAAGCAAGCAACTCTGGGAAGCATTACACCACTTCCTGCCTACTTCCTCAGTTCCAAAATGTTGCCAGGACCATCCATCTCACAGGGTTTATGCGAAGACTAGGAAAAATAATGTGAAACTGCCTAGTACACTGTCCAGCACAATAAAAAAAAAATGAAATTAAGAAAAGAGCTAAAGATTCAAAAGATATACTCTTGTTTGGGTCTTAAAACCATTCATAAAACTGGGTTGGGTGGTACACGCCCATAATTCTAGCTACTCTAGAGGCTGAGACAGGAGGATCCCAAATTCAAGGCTAACTTGGACAATTTAGTAAGACTCTGTCTCAAAATAAAAAAAAGCAGGACTTCAGATAAAGGTTCAGAGGTACAGTGCTTGCCTAGCATGCACAAGGGACTGTACTAAAAAAAATAAACTGCTGGCCCAAGTTAGATTCCCGGTACCAAAAAAAAAAAAAAAAAAAAACAAAAATAAAAAAAAAAAAAAACAAAACAAAAAAAAAAACAAAAGAACAGCTGACCTTGTGTGGGTAATTCTACTTTGATTTTCTATTCTTTTGATCTGCATTAAGGAATCTATAACGAATCTACTAGAACTAATGGTCACTTTATGCAAAGTCATATGATAGAATGGACCCTGAAGTTATGACCAGCCTGACATAGGAACAACTTGGATTCACTGGGTTAATGGAAGATTCATCTGCACGTGTTCAGGTAAACATGCTGATCTCAGCTGAACTGACTTACAACCAACTTGAGTTACAACCAGACCTTGGGAACTGAAGGAGTTCGTAGTCAAGGATCTACTATACACAGGTAAAATATGAAAAACAACTGTATTTATATACACTGGCAATATATACTTGGAAACTGAAAGTAAAAGCAATTCAATTTACAACATCATCCTAAGGATAAACCTAACAAGTAGAAGTGCAAACGCCCAAGAGACTGTTTAACAGACGGATATGCTCTTTCTAACGTGTACGGAAATGCACAAGATCTAGACTTATTAAAGTAATTCTGAGAAAGAAGAAAAGCAGGGGGAGGTTTACTCTATTTGATTTCAAAACTGAGTATAAAGCAACAATTACCAAGGCAGTGTAGTGTCAGCGTAAGTTTAGACTGGACTAAAAAGAAATTTTCTTTTTTTTTTTTTTCAGCTTTAATTGAGTTTATTGGTACATTTTAGGGATACAGTACAGTTACATTCATTGTTGGGATCATGTACTTCTACATGGCAAGTCTTGATTCTCATTTTTTACCCTTACCTCTGCCCTCCCTTCACCCCCTCCTCCCCTAACAAATTTTCTTTTAAAATGGGGGACCGAATTCAGGACCTTGCTCTTGAAAGGCAGGTGTGGCGCCACTGAGACACATTCCCAGACCAAAAAGGGATTTTCATAATTAACAAAGAGTAGTAATTTTAACAGGAAAGGGTTAAAATGGCAAGGAAAGGGTAGTTTACCTTATAAACTATTTCTTTAAATTTCTGTGCTTTTGGGATGTGTGCCTTAAAAGCTGGTACTTATACATAAATATTATTTACTAAATTGCTCTGTTGTTTTAACCTAGACTGTAGTCCTTTGAAGTAAGGAGCCAGGGAAGATTCTTGGTAACTTCTGTGCATCTCTATGGCCCATGCTCTCTCGAGGTCCTGAGAAGTTCTTCTGCACACAGCAGTGGTTATGAATGTCCCTCAGAGCCTGGCTGCAGACTGCAGTCTAACAGCCACCGGCCACACCATCTAAAGTGTTAACAGGAAAGGTCGCTGGTCCTGTGGACTGTTGCTCCTTCTACAACAGCAGCAGCAGCTCTGGGAAATCTGTTAGCTGAGGCCTATGTCACTGGCCCAACCCAGGAAGACGAGTGGAGGCCTCTGCGCTCACGCACACCTGGCCCACACAGCCCTCCACTGAAGAAGCAGCCGGAGACAGTGGCCAGAGGTCCCTGGCAGGACGCCTGGCCCCTTCCTCTCTGGTGCTGTCCCTTTCTCTGCTTCCTGGCTGCCACGAGTTGAGCAGTTTTCCTCCACCAGACCCTTCTACCCTGGAGCCAGTTAACTATGGATTAAATCCTCTCAAGCCAGAAGCCCAAATTGAACCTCTCCTCCTCGAGCTGTGGTGTCAGGTATTTTTCCCAGCAACAGGAAAGCTGACTGATATAGGCAGGAGACAGAGCTGGCATCACACCCAAATCATCACCATCATGGGGTCTTACTGTAACATACTAATAGGCATTTGATGGAGAATTCAATTCATGGATATAAATATTCCAAAATTATTTTTAAATTATTAAACTGCTTTCCCTACCTGATGTACTAAGAGTTCAGCCACTTCCACGTGGTTATTAAGAGCAGCCAGATGCAAGGCAGTATAGCCGTCATCTTTCTTCTCATCCACAATCCATGGTCTTGGTAATTTTGACAGTAAAACACGCATTGCACTGAAAGTCAAATTCACATCATCTTTAATTTATATCATTTATATTTAATTTGATATTTTTATTATTTTCTTTAGAAACTTATACAGAAGAAACTTTTGAAATCAAGTGAAGATACTCTCCTAAAGAAAATCATCCCCACCGCCTGGGAGGCTGAGGCAAGAAGATTGCACAGAGTTCAAGGCCAGCCTGTGTAACATAGTGAGTTCAAGGCCATCCGGAACTGCACAGCGAGATGCTGTCTCAAGAAAATTAAAGAAAAACAAAATCATTCCTTAAAAACAAATATCTAATTATTCCACTTCTCAAATGTGCAGTTTTTTTCATATTTTGAGAAGTAAATAATCACTACCTTGAGAACAGACTTAAGAAAAAGGAAACGCTATAAAGAAGAACCTGTTAGAAAAAATCAAAAGAGGAAAGGAATATGCTCTAATGAGAACATAATTTTGGCTTTGTGGAATCTTTAAGGTTTAATTCCAACAGCATCTATTTAAAAAGTTTAAAAAGTTAAGTAACAACAAACTAGGAATAGGAAAAAGAGTGATAAAATTTTACATAGTTGAAAGAATTGTCATGAATGACAGATTTAAAATCTGATGGAGGGCTGGGGGATTTAGCTCAGTGGTTCCGCCACCTGCCTTGCAAGTGCAAGGTCCGAGTTCAATCCCTGGTACCAAAATAAATAAATAAAATAAAATCTGATGTAAGTGATTTACCAGTGAGGACAAAATACACAAAATGGCAATTACAACCTAAAATTTAAAAATTGGTAACAAAGTATTCCCAAAGCAAAAAAAGTACAAAGTTACACGATATGCTTCAAAGATTGAAAAGGAGAACTAAGTGTCAAGCTAGAGGCAACTCTTCTTAATAAAAAGATTTTATGGCAGATATGATGGCACACGCCTATAATCTCTGCATTCTGGAGGCTGAGGCAGGATGACCCTGTAAGGCTGCTGTAAGAATTAAACGAAACATAGGTAAAAATGTTTTCGTTACATGACTGCAGACCAACCGCCTTTGTAACACAAGTTCTACCATCAGCCATCCACTCAGGACTTGGAATCATCCCGATACTTCTCTCCCTCCCTGCTTCCACACTGAGTACATCCTGCTGATTTCCCCTCTGAAACCACCTCTCCCCGGAGCCCCAACGCCCTCCAGGAGGCCATGCCCCTTCCCTCCTGTCCTATCCTATCACTGGCACACAAATGTGCCATCTCATGATTTTCACAAAATCAAAATTAGCAACTTTCATCTAGTAAAAAGACATCCTAAAAAAGTAAATCTTTCTAATCAGACTGGCATTGAAGAAAATTATTCTAAAATACACTTTGCCACCATAATATATTTTTTAGAACATGAGTCTATAGTGTTTTCTTGAAATCAAGGATAGCAAATCAAGTCTTGGTTGAGCGGTGTAAGCTGTGGAGAAGGGCTGCAACAGCCCACTCAGAACTAAGGACCTGGACAAGGTGGCGCACGCCTGTAACCCCAGCACTTTGAGAAGCTGAAGCAGGAGGAGCCTAAGTTTGCGCCCAGCCTGGTACCTCTGTGTGAAAGGCTGAGTTCAATTCCCAGCACGGGCGTGGGGAAATATGCAAGGTTACTTCTGAGAAGCTAAGAGTACGAGGACTAGTTTTTTATTTATTTTAGTTTAGTTTATTGTTTATTTATTATTTATTTTATTCATTCATTCATTCCTGTTTAAACAGTGCTGAAAATCAAACTCAGGCTTTGAGCATGCTGAAATACATCCCAAGCCCCATGTTTTTTAAATAAAATGCTAACTTCAGATTTACAGAAAGTTAGTTTTTCTCTGCTGCAGAACACCAAAATACGTTCATGGCTCCTGGGCTCCCTCGTCTCTGGTGACTGAGCAGTGCTCCTCGGTTGGGGTTCGTCTGCTTTTCTCACCGTTACGCCGGGGCTATGGGCTCCTGGAAGCCCACGGAGGTGAGGCGCCCTTTTATCGAGTCACACTGCAGAGCAGTCCCTATTTCCCCCAAAGTTAAGACCTACCCGGAAATACACCCTTGCATTTTTCAGAATGCACATAATAACCTCCTGGTTCACCCCACTATAAGCCCCAGTTAAGACCATCAGCCAGAAGGACACACAGCTGGCCACTGCGACACACGATGCACATGTGGAATAAAATAGTAATATTAATATGTAGTTAAATATAACTATGACCGACATTAACATTTAAAATGTGCTAATGTAATTATAACTAATCGTCTGTAAACACACGAGGGGCGCCTGAGGATGAGAGGTAACCACCCGTGCGCCCAGATGACCCCGACACTTACTGCTGTGAGTCCGGACCAGGGCACAGACACAACACGAGTGACGTGCAGTTCTCTACCATGAAGCTTCACAGTCCAGTGCGTCGTGCACCGTAACGGACGCACTTCTGCACGTGTGTGAGGCAGACATCTCCCGAATTTTATTTTATTTAATTTATTTATTTATTTTGTACTGGAGATCGAACTCGGGTCCTTGCGCTTTTGAGGCAGGCGGCGGAACCACTGAGCTAAATCCCCAGCCCAACGTTTCCTGAATTTTGACGCCTGCCATTTTTCACTGCTTTTGCATGGACCATCACCCCTCACGGTCATCGTTTCTGTTGCCACTCCCGTCTCCCGAGTCTTCAGCTAACGTGAGATCTAATGAAAACTGTGAGGCCCGGCCTGCGAGGGGCTGTGACTCGGGCGAAGAATTCATGGGATAAAATCACTGACAGCCGGGCTGCCAGGGCACCAAGAGCAGGCTACACGGACAAGCAGCGCTCATTTAGGGAGAGCGCTACTGCTGGAGCCAATGGTTCTGCAGGAAAGGGAGCGGAAAGAAATGGAGGCTGGGATTTGGGGTTTGGAGAGTTGTGACGAAGTCCAGAAGATGATGGCAGGACTGCATCTGAACAGATTTTGTACATGAATAAATGAATACATACAGAATGCTCTACACGAAAAAATAAAAACATCCTCTGAAAATAAGCCCTATGGTGTCCTTTGCAGCAGTAAGGCGGGGTCTTCTTTGCGGGGCAATGTGGTGCTAGCAGCGGCCCCTATCACTCTCAGGGTTGCCCTCAAGAACTCCCCGGAAGTGGCCTGTCAGGGGGTCTCTGCTGCAGTTATTCTTTCCTCCCATTTCTCTACCACAGTCTGAGCAAGGAAGTCACTGCTCAGCCCACACTTGGGGAGTCAGCAGTTCCCCTCTGCCTCCTGCGAGTGGAGCATGAGCATAAAGTATTCACAATTCTTCCGCACCAGAGATCTGAGGAGGATCACTTCTGTCTGTTTAGAGACCATACCCCTTTCATCTTAGTTAGAAATCACTGGCCCCCTCCCAGAAAGACACATACAGATACTACAGGGCCTAATGGAAAGAGCCTGTCTTCGGGCCCAGCCTGCAAGCGGAGCTCAGGGAACATGAAAAAAGCCACCCTGGCCACCTCGGCCTCCTTTGATGACAGCAGCTCAGGGAGCCCACCTCCATTCTCTGTGGGACAGGCGATCTCAGGAACACACAGGAAACCGAGAAGGGCAGTTCCAGGATGCCAATTAAGAGGAGAGACTGCTGTTATGCTGCGCGCAGTGAGGGCCAGAGTGACTGGGACACAGCTGTGACTAGCTCTTGACACGTCACCTATCTCACTGAACCACACTCTGCTGTGGAGGGTATGAGACTTGGTGACACTTTTCTTAATGCCCAAAACACAGATCTTAATTTTTCAACTAGTTGTTTTCTAAGAGGATAAGGGCATGGATGCTTTAAAGATAAGATCTTACTACCAGTTAAGCAGGTATTTGTGAATTGTGCCAGAGACTATTAAGTTCCAGAACAACTAAGAGCAATGCCTAGCATAACCCTTGGCACATGGTAGTATTCAAATGCTTGCTGAACGATGAACAAATGAGTTCTAAGAAGTACAGGGGACAAGCAGCTGTCTGCACTGGTATGCAGTATACAAATGGCACTGGATCTATTTTTTTTTTTTTTTTTTTTTT